CAAAAGTGAGAAGCTTTAAATGTGTCCCTTCCCGCCTTAACGACTGCTAGACTTTGCCCTTACTTTCCATTTGCCCTTACTTTCTCTTCTAACTCTTTTACTTCTTCTTACTATTTTTCTTTTTTGCTTCCTTTTCTGTCTTATAAAAATTTTAAAAAAAATTTGGTGATATACGCGGACCCAGTTATCTATGGACCTATTTGACTCAAATGCATTGCTACATATTGGATACAGAAAGGTTTTCTCCTTTTGTATTTCAGGATGTATGTATATTTATATCCATGCACAGTAGGTTTATATCCATATATCTTTTTTCTTGTCCTCCACAATGTACCTTACAAAGCCCTGGAACGTATGTTGGAAATGTGTATGGGGTTGATACATTTCTTGTTATCTGTTGTAATCCTTTAAATAAAGAATTAAAAAAAAACAAAACTTGTGGAGTTTCTAGATTCAGGAGAGAAGCAGTGCTGAAGACAGTAAGTGGTGGTGAAGGAGATTTCCCTCTTGGCCCAATCAATCTGTGGATTATGGGCTCGTAGCCACGGGATGCCCAGGTTGACTGGAAACATGGGTGAACAAAGGACATGAAAGCAGATGAATTCTTGCTGGCCCAATTCTGTCAAAGTGAAAATTGGTAGTCTGTTGTGTAACGGGGTCTGAGCTAGGCATAGGACCATCAGCCAGATGTACCTCCATTCTTTGCTTCTTAGTGTTTAGGGGAATATGCAATGTCTTTGTCAATGACAGGTCCAGGAATCAGCTGCATGCACCAGAGTCCATTATTGCTAGGACTTTGACCTGTAACGAGACAGGAAGAAAAAGGTGAGTTGGAGGAGACCTAGAGACCTGGAAGTATGTAGGACTACTTGGAGAAGACTTACTGGGCCTCACAGGACAGTTGCGCAGGAAATGTCTAGCTCCCCCGCAATACAAACAGAGGTTGGATTGCCAGTAGCGTTCTCGCTTGTCTGGTGTTAGAGCTGAATGGACCAAGCGATATGTATGGGTTCCCTTTCTGTAGTAGCTGAAGTGAAGGGTGCAGGAATGGGTGTAGAAGCACGTGGGACTTTAGGGTAGCATCCAAGTGGGCCTGAATGATTGTGTCTGTTCTGACTGCCACTCCCACAGGTGTCTTATCAAGCTGGACAGCCAGTTAGATGAAACCCTCCAAAGAAGTGGGAGTTTCCACTCTTAAGGGCTTAAGATAGTCCCAACTAGTGTTGGAGTCTGAGGGCAGCCTCGTTCCACCTTGTATCTAGAGACCATCTGCGGAAGTCCACTGTGTAGTCTTCTACCGGATGTCTGCCCTGCTGCAAGGAATGAAGAGCGGCTTCTGCAGTAGCTGTGCATTGTGGGTCATCGTAGAGTAGTGCCATGGCTTCAAAAAATGCAGTCAGAGTTAAAAACAGGACTCTTTTTTTGTTCAAGCAAGTGGTGGGCCCAGGACTGAGGTTCATCGGATAATAGAGAAATAATGAACCCCACTTTTACAGTGTCTACAGAAAAAACTCTTGGTTGGAGGGCCAGGTATAATAAGCAGGCATTATTGAAAGCTGTGAATTTCCTTCGATCACCGGAGAAGCATTCAGGAAATTGTACCCGTGGTTCTGGAGGTGGAACCACCACAGTGGGAGCAAAGGCTGTGCGTTCATGGGCTGGTGGAGTGGTTGTTGTAGTAGCAGAAGGTGGACCTTGACCTGAAGGATACAGTGGACACAGGTTTTGCAGACAATCCTCCAGCTGGAAGTACTCTTCCTGAAGACTCTTCACTGCCTGGGTAAGGGCGGCAACTTGTTAGCACAGAGCCTCAATCAGGAAAGCACCTCTATTGGCCTCAGACATACTGACTGGATGATATGGTCACGTACCTGGTCAGAGGCCGGAGTGCTGAGAGGGCCCCCCTTGCGGCTGAGTGTGGAACACCCCTGAAGGTAGGAACAGGGGATGCTTGGCCCAGAGAAGCACAGGTTGCTAGCTGTCTGGAGCCTGAAGAGCTGAGATGAAGAGCTGCAGCGCTGATGTTTTCCTGACGTGACAGGCAGAACTTGGCAGCAGGTATATATTCCGCAGATGTGGCAGGCAGAACTTGGCAGCAGTGTAGAAGTGGAAAACCCAGATACTCCTGCGCTAAAGGATGGACTCAATGTCATAAGGACCACATAACGAAATTCTTGGGATATGCACACCTTGCTGCCCTCAAAAGACCAGGGGAGTCCAAGTATACTGAATAGAGAAAAACAAACAAAGTGTGCACTGGCCTAGTGCATTACATTAAAATTATGCTTATTAAATGTAAAAATAGGTATTGTACTCACAAATTGACAATTTGTGAGTTCAATACCTATTTTTACATTTAATAAACATATTTTTAAGAAAATGCACTAGGCCTCTGTTTGTTTCTTTCTGTTTTGAACTTGGCAGCTGGTATATGTTCCCCAGATGTGGCAGGCAGAGATCAGAGTCAAAGTCAGGCCAGAGGTCATGCACAGGAGATCAATCAGAAGCAAGGTCAGGAGAGGGCCGAAGGTCAAACACAAGAGATCATGCAGGAGCGAGGTCAGGGGAATAATCTGAGGTCATACACAGGTGATCAGGCAGCAACAGAGTCAGTAGAACAAGCCAGGGGTCAGAGCCAGGAGAGAAGATCAGACTGGCCAGAGGCAATCTGGGTCAGCAACGGGAAATCAGATAATCACAAGGCAAAGGCACAGGAACACAGAGGGCTGACGATCATCCAGCAACTAGTGGTCAGAGCTGCAGTCCTTTTAAAGGCAATTGAGTGCCAGAAACTATCACGTCCTGCATGCGCCACCTCGCATGTGCTCCCACCGATTCGTGCACCCGCATGCGCCTAGGCGCACGGGAGTGAGCAACCTGCGGCCATGCTGGGTATTGGTGACAGTGCCTATCTTTTTTCACTTGATCCTCTGACACCTTGCAATTAATTCTAAGCCAGAACAATGACCACAAGAATTGCACTGGAAAATTTAAACCCTGTACACCAACCCATAGTACATTCGTCAGCAGGGGAAGCTGCAGCAACCATACAGGTCACTCTGAAACAAGGGACACTTCTCTACCTTCCAAGTAACATCTTATGTAGCAATTCTGCCACTGCAGACTATCCTGAATCCAACTCACCAAATCAACGGAGTCACAATGTTTTCTCCATGTCACGAGACTTCCAGAACTCAAGCTTTCACCTATACTGAACCTGTTGGCTACTGCATTCTTTCCTCCCAACACCAACATCTAAATACCAGGTATTAGATGCCACCACTTCTGTCAATGGTGAAGGAATACCTGTCATGACAAGGCCTCAAGGAAATGAATTACTGCAAAGATCATGCGCTTATGCTACTACTGTGGTGTTCCCACTCCTTGGAAGCTTCTAGCACTGTGAACCATATACCCTCCTATCTAAATTGATAACAGGTATTTTGTGAGAAAAACAATAACGTGCTGCACCCACCTTATATACATAAATACCGTGCTCTTATAATTAAAGTAAAACGTGAAAAAAAATATGTGATACAAATCATTTAACTTGATAAGTATCCAATAAAAAAAACAATAAGGGGAATTCAAAGTCCATCCAACATGTCCTTTATACTTAAATAACTTATATAACTACAAATATATATCTCTAAAAAAAACCATTGCCTTTTCTTCCAAATCTCAATATTCTTCCAAATCTCCAGCAAACAATGCTTAGTGGACTACAAAATATCTCCTTCCCAAAACACAATTCCTGTACTGTTTTGGTGCTCACACTCAAATTATGCAGTCAGCAGTCCTCCATGACCCTTTTAATTTAATAAGTGGGTCCTCAATAGCTTAGATTTCCATGCTCCTTCCAGGCAGCCTTCCAAGTCATCTCCTTTCAGCTTCCTATCTTGCACCTTTTAATCCTCCAAATACATTTTGTGCATGAATAAACAATAAAATAGAAAGCCGTAGTGCAGTCATTGTTATTGCGATAGTAAAAAAATAAAAACACTTCCAAGTACGCACTCGCATTTAAAAATACAAATGCCAGTATTTGTAATTATAAATCAATTTATACCACATGGATCCAAGATGGCCCCCGCTGACCAAATTTCCTGTTTGCTTCCTGCGTGTGTTCCACCAACTATAATGTCAGGATGAAGAGCCCCTGCCCAACATGTCTTGACCGATTGTTATCATCAGGGACCCACAATTGTGACCCAAGGGGACTTACATTTTATGGTATTGATAAGGAGACAAACAATTGGAGGGGATTTAACCTTAGGAAGCAGGTGTCACCAAATGGAAAAAAATGGATTTATGAACTTAATACCTCAGAAGATGATTATTTCTAATATACACTATATTGCCAAAAGTATTGGGACGCCTGCCTTTACATGCACATGAACTTTATTGGCATCCCAGCCTTAGTCTGTAGGGTTCAATATTGAGTTGGTCCACTCTTTGCAGCTATAACAGCTTCAACTCTCCTGGGAAGGCTGTCCACAAGGTTTAGGAGTTTGTCTATGGGAATGTTTGACCATTCTTCCAGAAGTGCATTTGTGAGGTCAGGCACTGATGTCAGACGAGAAGGCCTGGCTAACAATCTCCATTCTAATTCATCCCAAAGGTGTTATATCGGGTTGAGGTCAGGACTCTGTTCATGCCAGCCAAGTTCCTCCCTCCCAAACTTGCTCATCCATGTCTTTGTGGATCTTGTTTTGTGCGCTGGTTTCCAGTCATGTTGGAACAGGAAGGGGCCATCCCCAAACTGTTCCCACAAGTTGGGAGCATGAAATTGTCCAAAATGTCTTGGTATGCTGACGCCTTCAGAATTCCCTTCACTGGAACTAAGGGGTCAAGTCTAACTCCTGAAAAACAACTCCACACCATAATCCCCCCTCAATCATACTTTACACTTGGCACAATGCAGTCAGGTAAGTTCCCTTCTCCTGGCACCCGCCAAACCCAGACATGTCCACCGGATTGCCAGACAGAAGCATGATTCATCACTCCAGAGAACACGTCCCCACTGCTCTACAGTCCAATGGCAGTGTGCTTTATAACACTGTATCTGACACTTTTCATTGCACTTGGTGATGTAAGGCTTGGATGCAGCTGTTCAGCCATGGAAACCAATGGCTTACCAATGGGTTACCAACATGGAGTTCTCTACACGCTGTTGTACTAATCTGAAGGCCACATGAAGTCTGGAGGTCTTTAGCTATTGGCTCTGCAGACATTTGATGACTTCTGTGCACCGTGCACTTCAGCATGAGTTGACCCTGCTCTGTCATTTTATGTGGCCTACGACTTTGTGGCTGAGTTGCTGTTGTTCTCAGTTGCTTCCACTTTGTTATAATACCATTAACAGTTGACCGTGGAATATTTAGTAGCAAGGAAATTTCACGGATGTACTTATTGCACAGATGGCACCCTATCACGGTACTACACTTGAATTCACTGAGATCTTGAGACAACCCATTCTTTCACAAATGTTTGTAGCAGTCTGCGTGCCTAGGTGCTTGATTTTATACATCTGTGGTCATGGAGGTGATTGGAACACCTGAATCCAATTGTTTGGAGGGGTGTCCCAATACTTTTGGCAATATAGTGTATAGTGTATAGTGGTGTTTTAACTGTTATTGTTGCCTAATTTATTATGCTTTTTTTTTTTTTTTTTTCATTTAACATTTTTTTTTATACATTTTTAAAATATAAATATTTATCTTCAACATTGGCTCTATCAGAGTAGATAATAACAATCCCCTCACTCTGATTATAAACACCTCATATTCTCTTAAAGCTGATCTCCAGGTTTTCTGTCACTTTAAATAGCTTGTAAAACATAAAAATAGTGCCGTGCAGTACTTAGCAAAGGTATATCATGTGAGTATATGCCCAAATATAAAGTGAAATCCAAAATACATAGGTACCATGATACACAAGAAAAAAAGAAAAAAAAGAATAAAAGGGGTTAAACAATGTCTGTGTGTGTTCCTTTAAATCCTCAGTGTTTCTAAAAATAAAATAATAATAAGACCATAAACGAATGATTGTCTGCTTGCTGATTGCTGATATAATAATATAGTACTTAAAATGTCTCTCAGAACTGAAAAATTAATAATTATCCACGTTTTCTCAAAGTGTCCGTGTGTACCACTTAATTTCTCCAAAAATAAAAATCTTCAAAAACAGTTTTTTCCTCATCACTTTAATCTCTTCACAAATCCCCCTGTACTTAAACAGTGTAGGACAGTGTATCTCATATAAATCATATAAAATGATTGTAGAAATAGCCTTAAGTAATAAAAAATATTAGAAAAAAAAAGTACCTCCTTAATGTAAAACCTGGGCTTATAAACACAGTAAATCTTGTGAGCTGCTATAAGTGAATGATATTCCGTGAATCAACCCACACTAATCACACATACAGTGAAGATCGAAAGTTTGGGCACCCCAGCTAAAAATTTGTATTAATGTGCATAAAGAAGCCAAGGAAAGATGGAAAAATCTCCAAAAGGCATCAAATTACAGATTAGACATTCTTATAATATGTCAACAAAAGTTAGATTTTATTTCCATCATTTACACTTTCAAAATAACAGAAAAACAAAAAATGGCGTCTGCAAAAGTTTGGGCACCCTGCAGAATTTATAGCATGCACTGCCCCCTTTGCAAAGCTGAGACCTGCCAGTGTCATGGATTGTTCTCAATCATCATCTGGGAAGACCAGATGATGTCAATCTCAAAGGTTTTAAATGCCCAGACTCATCTGACCCTGCCCCAACAATCAGCACCATGGATTCTTCTAAGCAGTTGTCTAGAAAACTGAAACTGAAAATAGTTGACGCTCACAAAGCTGGAGAAAGCTATAAGAAGATAGCAAAGCGTTTTCAGATGTCAATATCCTCTGTTCGGAATGTAATTAAGAAATGGCAGTCATCAGGAACAGTGGAAGTTAAAGCAAGATCTGGAAAACCAAGAAAAATATCAGACAGAACAGCTCGCAGGATTGTGAGAAAAAACAATTTAAAAACCCACGTTTGACTGCATGATCCCTCCAGAAAGATCTGGCAGACACTGGAGTTGTGGTACACTACTATTCCACTATAAAGAGATACTTGTACAAATATGGTCTTCGTGGAAGAGTCATCAGAAGAAAACCTCTTCTACGTCCTCACCACAAAAATCATCGTTTGAACTTTGCAAATGAACATATAGACAAGCCTGATGCATTTTGGAAACAAGTTCTGTGGACCGATGAGGTTAAAATTGAACTTTTTGGCTGGAATGAGCAAAGGTACGTTTGGAGAAGAAGGGGCACAGAATTTAATAAAAAGAACCTCTGTCCAACTGTTAAGCATGGGGTTGCATCAATCATGCTTTGAGGTTGTGTTGCAGCCAGTGGCACAGGGAACATCTCACGAGTAGAAGGAAAAATGGATTCAATAAAATTTCAGCAAATTTTGGATGGTAACTTGATGCCATATGTGAAAAAGCTGAAGTTAAAGAGAGGATTGCTTCTACAAATGGATAATGATCCTAAACACACCTCAAAATACACGGGGGATTACATCAAGAGGCATAAACTGAAGGTTTTGGCCTTCACAATCTCCTGACCTCAACATAATTGAAAATCTATGGATAGTTAAAAGAGCAGTGCGTGACAGACAGCCCAGAAATCTCAAAGAACTGGAAGACTTTTGTAAGGAAGAATGGGCAAAGATACCTCAAACAAGAATTGAAAGACTCTTGGCTGGCTACAAAAAGCGTTTACAAGCTGTGATACTTGCCAAAGGGGGCAGTACAAAGATATTAACTCTGCAGGGTGCCCAAACTTTTGCAGACGCCATTTTTTGTTTTCTGTTATTTTGAAAGTGTAAATGATGGAAATAAAATCTAACTTTTGTTGACATATATTATAAGAATGTCTAATCTGTAATTTGATGCCTTTTGGAGATTTTTCCATCTTTCCTTGGCTTCTTTATGCACATTAATACACAAATTTTTTTAGCTGGGGTGCCCAAACTTTCGATCCCCACTGTATATAGTTAATATCTAAAATATATATCCAAAGAATTTTGAGCTTCACTAAAATAAATCCATACTTTACACCATAACCTAAATGTAATAATATTCAATATCTATAATCACAATATCATAAAAGTAAACGTAAATTGACATCAGTATAAAGTCCAGTCCGGAAACATTCCCATCCAACTAGTTGGCTTCTTCAAATATTGACAAACTTCAATGAAATAACTTTGCTTCTTTTATCATCACTTTGTGCCAAAAATCTTTCCTTTCAGTATGGTGACTATAGTTTGTCTATATTTGAAGAAGTCAACTAACTGGCATGGGACTGTTTCCAGACTGGACTTTATACTGATGTCAGTTCACTGTTTACTTTTATGATGGTGATTACAGATATTAAATATTATTACATTTATGTTGTGGTGTAAAGTATGGATTTATTTTTAGTAAAGTGTGACAATTTTTGGATATATATTTTGAAAATTGGATTGCCTTTTTTCTGCACAGAAAAAAACTCAGTGGACACCACATTGTGGTGTAAACAGGGCACAAAGAAATCATTTTTTTTCTTTGACCTTGCAGTTGTGGTGGTTTATGTAAGGATATATATTATTATTTATAAAGGGCGTGTCCCTTTCCCTTAGATGAAATATTACAGTGCCTCCAGCCGTTAAAATACGGCAAATATTTAGTAAACCAATAATTTGGACACTTTGATAATTTGATCACCACTTATTATTATACCTTGAATTCTTTTAGCCAATATGATTTCGTACCATACACACAAAATTTGCCTTATAATAGATAAATATAAAAATTTATTTATGTACAAAAATTATATATATATTAACACAAAACGCAAAAGACTGGTGATAAATGAATATTGGTACACACAATCAAAAATATATCCTACCAATGTAAGACACAATAATAAGGTCTCTAACTAATTACATCAATCACAAATTTTAAATGATATGATATTTATTAAATTTATTAATAATTAATAATTTCGAATATCTCAAAGGTTATATTCTTACAAGCCGTGGCCATAGGATTGCAAGAAGCAAGCCCTTGATATATGATACTCTGGTTATTAATATTCAATAAATTATGAAATATGAAAAAATTTATAATATGGCAATAAACAATTTTTTAACAGTAACACAGTATCTTTCTACATATATCTAACTACCCAATATTGTTATGATACACTAAGGTAATTTTATGATTCCACACACAGAGAAAATAATTAATACAAAAATCAAATCAATATCTCACCACACCCGGAATTCAGACTAGGCAACTCTCCCGTGGATTTAGCTGGCAGTGGAACGCCTTTAGACTGATATATAGGGCAAGTGAAAGATTCTCAGTAGGGGGAATGTAGGGAGTTATAAGATTAGAGGTTTAAAGTTTTAGGAAGTTTGAAAAGATGGAAGAGTAGTTATTCAGCAGATCTTCTTCAGATGTCAGGTCTTTCCATGAGGTTTTTATGAGGGATCTTTTTTTCTTAAAGCACATGGGCTTTTATATCCACTAGTCCATTGTTCTAAGATACCTTCCCACCAGGCTTCCTGATTGGCTAGTTGAGAAATGTGTGTACATAAGCTATTTCTCACCTGCCCGCCAGGTGGCGGTCATGTATCACAGAACAATGTGAGTATTCGAGATGACTCATACCTTGGGTGGAATCTTCAGGTAATTTCAGGAATAAAATATACGGCTCTATCCAGATATAGCAGTGATACCTATATTATTCTAAATAGGGACCATGGAATATAGGTGTATATTCAGTTATTCCTCCTTGAAGTACCATCCTGTTTGTTTCCTGATAAGACATGTAACTAATGCTAGTCTATAATACATCTTACTTCCCATCATCTCAATACTCAAATTAGTGATATATAGTTCCCATTGCTGAGTATTTAGTGGTGTTTAAAATCTATAACATCTTATTTATGATATGTTTTTGTAGTATATTTTTGTCATGATATACAGTGAACTTTTAAACTTAAATGTCCTGAATTTCACCCCTTTGTTTCAGAATCAACATTTTCTCTGTGTAGAAAAAAAAAACTCTTTGTTTGCATGGCCCTTGTATTGGACTCATGGTAAACAATTGTTAATGCTTTCACCCTTGGTGAACAATAGTATATGGTAATAGTTTCAGAGGTCTGTTAGTTCATCACACTCTACAGGTTTTGGTTAAGCTTTCAACCAGTTGAGTTCCCGTCTCATTATTGTTGAAATGTTTAAAAGTCAAAGTCCTATCTGGCTATGTGTTTGACTTTTCTGTATGTGCATTCTTCTCAACCTCCATATACAAATAGTCCTTGTTGACAGTTCAAACAGGCTTATTGTC